CGGACTGTGTGTATGTGTGTGTAATAACGATGAACGCGCTATCTGCTTGTTGCTTGGTGTCAATATAAGTGTGTGCGTGTGTTGAGAATGGACGGAGAGTCTGCTGTAGTTGCTGAGTGTCAAATTGTGTGTGTGGGCTGCTGCGTGGAGTTGTTATCTTGATGGTGAAGTTAATTATTAACTTGGGAGCGTCGGGTATCTTGCGCTGTATATTGTGGGTTACCTTGTGCGATGGGCTTAATTGGAAAAAAAAAAATATTTTTTTTTGGTGTATTGTGCTGCGAGGTGCTGTGTGCGATGCGATTGTTGCAAGAGAGAGAATAATTGTGTTGTTGCTGCAAAGTTACGACAGGATTAATGGTGTGTTGGTTGCCTGCAGATCTGCTTGCTATTGTGTTTAAATGTACGCGTGTGATCGCAATATGCTGATTGTATGTGCTGTTATACTGTTCTGTATGGTTATGGGGTGCGATGCAGTGGTTGATTATTGGAATTGGGATTGTTATTATATTGTGCGTACCTGTTGGAAATTGGTAACAAATTCGAGGGGGACCCAAAAATTTGGTTGTATGGTTGTTGTGCACACGAGATTGCGTGTATATTATAGAGGGGGACCCAAAAATTTGGTTGTATGGGTGTTGTGCACACGAGATTGCGTGTATGTTATAGGGGTAATTGAGCTTTTTGAGAATGAGGGTGCGCGATGACGCCGTTGTGGGTGGTTTAGATGTTAATGCTAATGGGATCGTAAATTGGCGCCAAGTGGCGTCGCGTATTCGGTTGATCGCATGCAGCCACGAGTTGCTTTGCGAGTTGGGTTGTGTAACCAATGTGGTTGGTAAAATATTGGTTAAAAATTCCACGATATGACAGCTGTGCGCAGCAAGCTGGGGCTGTGCGTCTATCGTTGGTGGGGTTGTTATAACGTGACGGGGGGATGCGTCTTGTGACCCCCAGCTAAGGGGAGCTGGGGTGCACGAATGGAGAAAACTGGCCACGTGTTCGCACGTTGGGCCGCCATTTTGCGCGCATGCGGGGTATGGCGACGATGCGCTTTGCGGAAAGGGCCGCCATTTTGAGTGCGCGCGAGAGATATTGCGCGAACGCGCTGGGCGAAGGGGGACGCCATTTTTGAGCGCGCGGGAAAAACCGGGGTGGGGCAAATATTCCATCTGTTATGCCTGCCATTGTTGATTGGGTGATGCACGAGTTGTGGTCACATCGGGCTATGGCTGATGGCTGACCTGACAGCCCGGAGGCGAAACCTCCGTGGTATGTCTTAAACTAATGGGCCATGTGCTCATATGGCTCGGGGAGTCATGGTTCAGTTGTGCGGTGGCAGACTGAACCTGGTGTGCCGGGGGCTCACGGGATCTGGGTTAGGGTGTTATTGTCTCTATAAGAGAACATTGCCCCGTGGGGGGAGTACAGGGGGTCTGGCATTGCTGGGGGATGAACCTTCCCTGGGCTATAAAGCATCGGACTATACGAGGCTGGTGTGTGTCCATCTCTGATGGGATAGTAAGGGAGGAGCGTGGCCGAGTTGCTGCTCATCCCCGAAATTGCACTAGCGGAGAGTATGGTCAGTGGATGTTGCTGGGGGTTGACGACCACGGTGGGGGTTAGGGCGAGTTAAACGTTACCGCTGGGGAGCGTGGCTCTCTCCACACGAGGGTGTGCGATTAGGCGTTTTGTTGGGTTGCTGAGAGTGACCGTGGGTACATGCTGTGTACGTGCGATGTCTGTGCTGGTCCTCAAGGGAGGACTGCTGGTGGGTAAGAGCAGGAAATTTTGTTGTTGTTGTCACGTGTAAATAATATTGTTGTTAAAATATAAATAATGGGGCATCCATTGCGTTATTTTGGGTATTTATGGGGAGTTTTTTTTAAGCGGGCTGGATTTACATCATCTCCACTACCCTGAGGCCGGGTGGCTGTCGTGTACGACATGCGGATGTGCGTTGTTGTGCTGTGCCTCAGGGGATTGGATTCTCCTTCTCGTCACAGATTCTTCAGCTCCCGTCGCACTGGGTGTTACCTGGTGTGCTAGCTGGATGAGGACTTGAAGGAGCAATTGAGCGCCGTTCGTCATTCTGCTCTACCACTTGCTCTTTGACGTTGGACTTGAGCCGAGCGGATGGAACTGCAACATGGACACGCACTAAAACATCACATTCTGGGTTGTGCGCGTTGGCCGTTCTTGCGTGTCAGTTGCCGTTGTTGTTCATTGTGCCATTCTTATTCTTGTTGTTGCTGCGCGGAGGACAGGCTGGTGTTCTGTTCCAGTTCCTGATACCTCCCCTTTCGTTGCTTGTGTTGTTGTTGTTATAATCTCCGTTGTGTCTGGGGGACTCCTGATTGTGATGCCTTCGCCCGCATTATTTTGTTCTGTTTCAGCCGAGGACGGCTGGGATTTTCTCTACGGGGGAGGGTAGTGTAATGCGGGCGTAAATGGGCGGGGCGGATATGACGATCCGAGAGGGAGGAGTCAGGGTGACGTGGGGGAGAAGTTATAGCGGGGAGACAGGAAGCTATCGGGGGAGTCGGGGGAGTGAAGGGTGGTGAACACGTTGGGTGGTCGCCGTGCCTCAGCCTGGTGGCTGAGGGGCTCATGACGGCGCCAGCCAGCGGGGTGGAAGAGAGAGTGGAGGATTGAGGTAGGAAATGGCGAGATAGCCATAGAGGCCACGAAGGGCTGACATTGGGAGGTGGCGAGATCGCCACGCACGGAGGAACAGGGAGCAGAGATGGAGCTGCTGGGGGAGCAGCCAGAGGGCTGTACCAAGAGCCTGCAGCGGAGCTGCAGGAGCGTGGAAGGCTACGGGAGCGAAGGCAGATGTGGGGCTGCCAGGGAGAGAGTCTCAGGAGGAGTGCCGTGTGGGAAGGAGAACGCGAACCCCAAATAAAGGACACGGAGTCAGCAAGAAGTATTCGAGTCCTTTTATTACACTATGATGGATGATGTAATGGATCAGTGTTCCATTTCTGAACGTGACTTGGAGCAACAAAAACTCATGACACGTGCATGAGGAAAGGTCAAATTGGTTAAAAAAAAACGCCGAATAAACTATAACACCCTCGTATTTTTTCGTCACATTTTTTTTCTGATTTTCATCCCGCTGCAATAATAATATAATTGTTGAGGTGTTCTATTGGAGGTTCTGATGCATTGGTGGAAATTCCCATTTCTATGCCCGACTCGCAATATGAACTAAACTAAAACCGAACAAATTTTTTAAACTAAACCATTTTTTTATTTTACCAGGTACGGCCCACTGAGCTATATATATCTTTTTGAGAAGCAACCTGGCCACATATGATAGCTCAACGAAGTGGCTTATATGTGTAGAGGTGTAATTGTGTATGGGCACGGATGGCTAACAAACACAAGGGGCGTGGTTAGGGCCGTACACAGAGGGGGTGCTCACACCGACGTCCGCACCTGCATCCCCCACGGGCCCCTCCCGGGGGCCGAGTGCTATAAAAGGTGGTGAGCCGGAGAGCTCGAGGTCGAGTATTAGCTTAAACCAGCGAAGACTGAAGACCAGCTAGAATAGGCCCCGGAGCTCCCCTGGCTCGCTGTCCTTGTCAGGACCGACCAGGGCAAGCCGGTGGCATGGCCCCGAGAGCCCAGACTGACGTTCTTATAAGAGCCGGTCTGGAGACTCAGGGTGCCGGGATCCCAGCTTGACCAGGGCTGGGATAGGTAGCCTCCCCTAGCTCCGTAGTGGAGGACTTGGGCATAGGTTAGCGGGGTTAGATGTTGTGTCTCCCTGTAGCTGAGTGAAAGGGACGATACCCCCTTAAGTACTGTGTGTACCCGTTACTGTGCACAAGTTGGTGTTAATAAATAAGTGTGCCGCCGACCCCGTCGTCAAAGCCTTCTGAATACTTACTACATATGGAAGAAAATTGATATCAGCCAAACAACCTAAACGCATGTTTATAAATGTGGAGAGAAAAACCAGAGGACCCGGAGAAAAAATCCACGCGACCACGGGAAGAAACATGCAAACTCCAAATATACAGGACTCAGAGTCGGGATCAAGCCCACGACCGCCTGCATACCAGGCGAGGAAGTTAACCTCGTCACCGCGAAGCCCGATCATGAACACTTCGGCCATGCTGAATGCACCGATCTGTGAAGGCCTCCCGATGCATTGGTGGCTTTTTGAACGTGTGTCTATGTTGTGTGTCTCTCTGTGTGTCTCCGTGCCTGTGTTTTGTCTCTCTCTCTCTCTCAAATTCAGTTCTACCTGATGACGACTGCTTGTGTTGCAATCGAAACGTCGTATTATATTATTACATTTATTTTCTTTCTACGTGAATTTACCGAAAGACGGAGTGGGCACAAGGTTACACATACACGGGTGTGAGACTTACTTTTTATAGTTATTTTGCTGCCATACATTTCCACGTGATAAGCCACTTCGCTGAGCTATCGTTTGTGATGACCCCAGTCGCTTCTGAAAAATAATATAATAGCTCAGTGGGCTTCACCTGCTAAGTTTTATTAGCATATTTCTTTACTTATTTGCTTACATTTCCTGTACCGTGCAGTCCTATCGTGTTGTTGTGTTGTTTGTTGTTGTAACGTTCTGACCAGCCCCTACTGGACATCTGTGAATAACATCGTCATAGCTCATCCAATTCCTCCAGTATAGATACATATTCTGATTCTGATGTGATTTTTTTTCATGACTGAAGGAAATTCCTATGCAGGCAGTTGGGAGAATGGAGTCATCATAGAGCCTGAGAGCAGCATACCAGAACGTGTGACCCATATAGCAATGCCTGATATGGGGGACAAGGTGGAAAGCGACTCGGGCAGAAAGGATGGGGGATGAATTAAGGACAAATAAGGTCAGAGTTAGGATGTCTGAAATACTGGGGATTTTGAAAACATGAGAAGGGATTTGCGTCGTGACATCTGTAGGAGCATTATCCATCAGCCGAGGGGTCTGATGGATCGTGTTGACGTGAGCTGTTGTGCCGGTTCAAGTGAGGATCCTGGCAACTTCATGTTCAAACACATTTGGGGACCTGTCCGTGTGGTTTGACAGCGCTGCAAAGAGCACAACAATAGCTGGCGTGTTTTTGGGAGTTAATCGTCAGCCGTCATCTGCGAGGAATCATCCACGGAAATGAAGCTTCACGGGATTTCGCAGCTCCCGCAAAATTGTGAGCCAATAATTTGCAAACGAACTGAGCCTTTAGAGTCACGGCTCTGTCTCGAGTCTGTGTCACATTTCTGAGCTCCGAATCGAATGTCTCACACTTCTGCCTCAATGCTTGATGACCGATGTGGCCACACATGGTGTGACGTGTTTTAACATCGAGTGTTTCATTACAGTTAGCGGGATACCGGGTTTGGAAACTCTGGGCTACCTTGCTGTTCTCGTCAAGGAGTATAAACCATCACCGGAACTCCGATAATCCTCACCGTTGCCTTTGGCTGGCCATCGAATAAAGATGGCCACTGCATCGTGCGCTTTCAGATTCTCTTCTGCGGCCGTCTGGAATGCTCTTCCGAGATTAGGAAGCCACTGGGACCTACTTCACTTTTAAATAATCGAGATTGAAAACTCATGAGAACGGCTTTTTTGTGTTTCGTTTGTTGTCCTTTCCCCGGCACCTCCGATTAGCACGGTTGGCTACGTACGGTGCGAACGAAGTTCTACATTCGTACATACTAGGCATAACACATGCCCAACGTAACCCATATTTTTTTACTGGGAGTTCCCCTTGTTATTTAGCGTATCATAATAATGTACCCATGAAAGCCTCCGTGAGTTAGAGGACTCGTTATCCGGAGAATGCCGCTACTGCTACGTTTGGAACGTTGGGTAGATACCAAAAACAAGGCGTTTTTTTTTCTCTGCGCGAGGAAACTGGAGGGTCCATTAGGAACCCGTCTGAAACTGGTGGAGGACATACAAACTTCAGCAGACAAGGTCCTTCTTGCTGTGTGGCCACCTGCCATTCAGAGGAGCAATGCAGCATAACGAGGAAAAGAAATCACGAAACACTCGTGGATTCTGTGGCGCTTTCCAAGTCTGTCGTTGCCCAGTATTTGATTTTAAAAAAAGTTTAGTGAATATACGATGGTTAAAGAATATGACGCTTTTTAAAACGTCGGCTTGTGCAGGGCACGTCGCTAGACCGATGTGCCACAACGACGGTGGGAGTGCCTGCCAAGAGCACGTCTACCCATGAGATGGAGCGCTGATATCTGCTCCTGCGAAGGCACGTGCTAAGTGCATTAATTCAAACCAGTAAGTGATAAGAAAACCCATCGCTACATAAAAAAATTACGCAGGCTTGGTGGTGGTGGTGGGGGGGTAGATTGTTAGATCGCATCCTCTTGAAAGCCACGATATAAAGTTGCGATGTCCTTGTTTAAATCCACGACAAACGCGTGCACACAAGTGGCACGCGAGCGTTGAAAAGACGAATTGAATGACTCTCAATGACTCTCGCCGCCAAATTTTCACTCTCGCCCGCCTGCGTGTGTCGGCGAACTGGACAAAGGAGGGGGGTGGGGGGGAGAGTGGTGGGGGGGGGGGGGGGTGCTTTTCTGAACGTGAAATTGCTCGAAACATTCCCTTGAGCCAGGAGTTTAATTCATGACCACGCTTTGTGTGCGTGCGTGTGGCACAATATAAAGGTTCTCTCAAAGGACAATCAACTGCCGCGTGGCCTCTGCGTGGCCCGGCTATTACTTCGCACCGCACGTCCCACTCCACACCGATCATCTCAAGTGGAAAAATGAAAAAAATATTTTTTAAAATCCATCTGCGGAATCATCAACGTCATTTCACTCTTGGCAAAAAAGGGAAAGGTCAGTTTGGCAGATATGAATTTGGAGAGAATGTGTGAGATTTTTTTATTTGCCTTGTGTTTTTCCCTGTTAAAAATATATATATTGGGAGTGACAGCATGCTGTGCGGTGGTAACGTCCCTGTGCCTCGCAGCAACACGCACCCGAGATCGACTCCTGACTCGGGTGCCTTTGTGCGTGCTTCTCGGACGTTCTCCAACTGTTCCACGTGTGTTTTCCCCCAGGCTCTCCGGATTCCTGTCATAACTACAAACATACAATGCAACTGGTATTGGCCAAACATCCCAAATTTTGAATATGTACCTCCAAATTACTCAATTGGGATTACATACCCAGCAACAATCTGTGAACACTTGGTCGGGCATGAAAAAAGTCTTGAGACACAGCCTTGTTTTTCTGGGTAAACAAGCATAATAAATTAAAATACTTAACATGTTTAATCAATCTCCTGTGTTATTCTGCCGGGAGGCAGTTCGCTACCCTTTCAGTGATTCTGAAATATCAAGCGCTCTTTCGTTCGGTGTTTCCCAAGAATGTGCACCCTTCGCTTCGCACTATAATTCCACACTGCGACGATGCGAACACACGTTGATCACGCCTCGGCCGCGACATCTCGCTCAATGGTAATTACTTGTCACGGCCACTTTCGCGGAATGTTGCCAGACCGCCTCTTAACTGTGGACCACGGCGAACATCCCCTTCGCCCGGCAGCAGTGATTGGCTGTTTCTCTCGTTCACGTGGCAGCCAATCACACGGAGGGGTGCACGTGGTGTGGACCTTAAGTCGGGATGGTCCACCGCTGAGCGTTTGGTCGGCGCCATCAAGTCGCTGCCATAATCGCCGCAACCCGTTCGCCTGCAACCGCTTTGTCCACGAGCCGAGCGAGCAGTTGGGCAGATGAGGCCGACGAAATGGCGTTTAATAGTCGGGATCGGAACGGCCAACCGCAGTTTGCGAGCATGCCGGGTGCCTGATGAAAATGGGTCGCGACAAAAATTTGCTGGGCAGATCGACGCTTGAATGCCGACAACTTATTTGGTGATGTCGTGTCGGCAGCGTCGCACAAGCGCACGTACTAATTGCGTGCTGCGAAACACGGGCCACGGCCACCAATACGTCGCCTGTTATTATCTTTTTTCTTTTAAGGCCACGGTGGTATTGACGGACGTGTCTGAAAACGTGGTCCTGTGCTGTTAAGCTAACCGGGCTGTGCAGCTGCTCGCAACTGGTTGGCAGAGACATCTGCAGAGCGGCGATGCGGTTGCACGCGACCGAGTTGCTCAACCGATCGCTCATCAGGCGTGACCCGGCTGGACGCGGTGCGCTGGTGACGTGATGACGCCAGGATCGCCCCCAGTGTATGATACCAGGCACGATGGGACAATGCTTCCTATGGTCACCATTGCACCTTCTGCTGTGGCAAAAAATAATCGACCGTATTGAATGCGCGTGTTGGCGCCGTTAATTGCAGCCTGCGCGCACTTTTCTGTCTGACGAGTGCGTCATCATTTGCGTGATGGGTTTAGAATTGGTTAACATCATGAATTGTTTATACTTTTGACCCTTCTTTTCCAGTAAGCAAATGAGAACATTTGTATCATGTAACGATTGTGAATTCCTCCACCCACTCAAGTGAGGGTCAGCCAGTGCTCCTCTCTATTGGTGGCCACGTGCCAGTGGTGGAAGCTCCACTTTATCATCACAGGGCGCCAGTCCCTTGATAGAACAGCCAATGCTAAGCTCTGACAAGAGTAATATCCATGTAAAACTCTCCCGTTCCGAGATGTCTGCAAGTTTGCAGGGCGTGGGTCCCGTTCACCACTGAATCTCGGAACACGCGAGCGATTCGGCGGTAATTTTATTTCGAGGGGCGTATCGCCGTAGTTTTTAAAAAGAAATTGTACTCACCGCAGAGAACTGTAGTGACACGACCTGCACTCTATGATAGCTGGCGGAAAACTGTGCCACACGCCCTCCCGCATGGCCTTGTGGGAGCCTCAGTACCGATAAAGTAATTATAAAAAATATGTCTTCTGATTCTGTTCCGATGACGTCCGTTTTAATTTACACTAAGTCAGACGCAGGCCAGGATTGCCCACTGTACTACCTGAGATCAGACACTATCTGAACGCTAAAACAACGTTTTCCTATAGCTGTGGGGGTGGGGACTGAGCAGTCAGCTCCTGTGTAGGTTTCGCGGTTGTGCTGTAGAGCCCCAATATGTTTTTAGGTTGTACCACGCCAAGTTTATCGGCACGACCTCCGACGTTTCGCTCCGCATGCTGGAAGCTTCTTCAGAAACCGCGTTGGTCAGCTCACCACACGAGCCGCTCATTTACGTTCTCAGAAGGAGCTCCCGGCGCGTGGAGTAAAACGTGGTGTCGCGCCGATGAAAAACACGGAGTAAAACCCGAAAAACACATCGGAGAGCTGCACAGGTAGCTTCGTGGAAGGATGGAGAGAAAAGAAAAAAAAGGGGGCCGTTGGTGATTCATGCAGACGTTAGTTTTGATTATCTTCTGGGTCCCCATGGGCAATTTGCCTTTCCATCGCATGGCACAAATATTAATTATTACTGCTCCACTGCGTATTGACGCACGTGAAATGCCTCCCGCCGCTTGCAGAGATGAGCCTTCTTCTCAACGCCACGGGAAGCGGCTCTTGAATTTCCTCCCATTTCATGCTTCCCCCATGGGCCGCCACTTTTTTTTAATGCGGTGAGAAATTAGTTCAGATTTTTTTTTTTCGAAGGACCGCTCTTAAGGCTCCACGAGAAAACCAGGGGTGTTCGTCTTCTCAGACACAACAGACACATGTTCCCCCGTGTAGTATTTAACAGACTGTTGGGGCAAGTGTTGTTAGCGAGCGCCTATGAAGGTCAGAATTCCACACGAGGGGGTGAGTGGCCAGCACCACGCCCAGCCGCCTTTGTCTCCCTAGTGCCTTACCAGATACTCGTTTGAGGTTGAGTCGAGCTAGGGGAGGCCTAGGACAGGTTCAGATAATCGTCACTGGTGTTGGCCACGAGCGGGAATCAAACTCGGGTGGCCAGGTTCGTAGCGCAGCGTAGCGATAACCACTACACTAGCATGGAGGACGACAAAAACGACAACTCACTCTGTCACTGATCCCCTTGACCAGTGCAGGACCCCACGACTGAAACTACAAGAGGCGATTCTTCGGGTAAGGCCCTTCATTTAAAAACAATCGCCTCGCGCTCCCAACGCATGCGCACTCGTAGGAGGCTGTCTCGCGCAAGACCTCTCCATCACCTGACATTGCCAAATAAATGACATCGTCCCGTATACATCAAATTATTGTTTGAAGGATTCTCGCAAGCAAATGTTTAATTTCGATACGACGCTCTACTTGAAATTAAGTCGATCACCTTCAGGACAATGCAGGGAGTAAGACTAACCACTTTGCCTCAGCCGTATTCTTAAACAGTACATGTACATCCCTTTGCGTATGTATGTAAGTTGAACTTCTTTCGCACCGTACGTAGCCAACCGTGCTAATCCAATACTGGATTATGGGCCATCCTAAGCCGTGTGGTACGTAGGGGATATTTGACCTATACTTCACCATGCTACTCAGTGCAGGTTGGCTAAAGGTGGGCATCATAGACGTGGAGGCATAGAAGTGGAAATTGGTAGGTAACTTGGTGAATGAATGCCAATGTTGAGGTTTGAATCCAGTGATAACCATCACGAGCTGACCACAAATATCACATCTCTGAATACAAGCTCTGTGACGAGCCCAAACCGAACCTTTAAATGTATCTATACTTACGTGGGCACCTTATAGATTGTCTGCGTTTGAGTCCAACAGGGGCTCAAGCTTGCACGCCACGTTGGTGACGTGACCTCTACTCTCAGGCGCCAGGATTGGTGGCATCTCGCCACAGACGGTGACAACAGCGGCCTCAAAGTACAAACGTCCAGCATCCGCAATGTCCGCCAAAAAATGGCCGCCAAAGTAAACACGTTAAAGATTTGTTCATTAATTTCCAGAGTCACGTTTTTTATAACATTTCAGAGTACCATGTAATATGTGAACATAATCAGTTAATTAATCAAAGAAGTAAATATTACAAGTTAAAACATTGTGCTTTACACACTTTGACATCTACTATACTGTATTTTACTTCCATATCCATTTTAAGAATCTACCATTAGAGTCCATCATTGGCTACGTACAGTGTGAAAGAAGCTCAACGTACAATCATAAGTTACTAAATTAATTTCCCTGTGCCTAATATGCCCTAACGTGACCCTCAATATTTTCAGCCACCCCGATATCCCATGCGGACATCGGCCATCAGGTAATTGTGATCTTAGTCTCTGTGGAAATCATTGCATCCTTTGTAACGGTCCCCCATACGCACGCTCATCATTATCATTGCCATTCAAGCAACAGACATATTTCCCATTACAACGCAATTGGGAAATCTGCGTGAAGAACGCATGACGTTTGCGCTTTGGCCTTGGGTGGGCATACACCAGAATCAATGGGCGAAGTTTGGCGGGGTGGGGGCACGGGGGGGAGGGCAATGCCCCCGCAAACTGGACACCTTCATAAATTTACTTTCAGTAGTTTACAATAAAGATTAGTAAAACAAAATTGGATCCACCCGCAATTTCTAATGTGATGGACAAAGCGAACACTGCCCCCCCCTCCCCTCCAATATATAAGTCAAACTCTGCCTATGCCTCTCATGCAGTGTTTATCAAGCTGTGTTTGGGCCCAGTTCAACACGCAATCAGGCTTTCGCGAGCAATATTATCCATAAGAGGTTTTGTGGGGAAGGTTGGATCGCGTTGTTTGGCCTACGGACCACCCAGCCAGCCAGCCGCATGCCCTCGGTGACAAAACGCATTCACGTCTGTCTCTCGATCTCTCTAAACATCAGCGATACTAATGATTCATATTACCGGAACATAAACACATTCAATTTTTTCATCACAGCTGTAAGGTATTCTTCAGGTGGTAGGGGGCACGGGGGCATTTAGATGTTAGGCTTAAGGACAGTTTAACCAGGGTGTGTTTTAAAATTGTAGTTAATATTATCAGTTAAATCTTAATTATTTCCGAAAACAAAAGGTATAAACGTCGTATTATTATTTCTGAATCAAGCTGCATTTGCATGACAGCACCGCGGATCACGTGGAGGACCTCCAGCGGTGTGACCGGCGACCGCATGCTCGAAAACCACCGCTCTCACGTCTCATCGGATGGGGGACGTCGCTTCACAGTCACGTGCTGCTCGCCACGCAACCCGCGACTCTTCGATGACAAACATGTATGACGGCACCTTCCGGCAAGCTCGAGCATTCTGGGCCCTGCCCTTTACACGTCCGATTTCACACAACTCCAAGCGCGCTGGTCATTACACCTGTGCAAATAACTTGACGTCGGTCAAATTCAAAGAGTCGGGGCGACCTTTTTTTTTGGCTCGCGTAAAGCGTTGAGGAGGTTGCTCGTCTTCTGCTTACAGCCCCTGGGCCCGTGGAGGAGATTCCACGCTTCTATTGTTACTCCGACGACGTTTGTTCACCTAGTACAGCTTTAATTGAGTCTCCTAACTCTTTTTCTCAGGAGGTGTCCGCAGTAGGGGTGGCAATGATCGCTATGTATAATCCCAACTGAGTAATTTGCGGCGTGATTTTACATTTTATTTTTAATGTGAGCAATAACACCGGCACAATAATGGCCTACTCTTATGTATGAGTAGGGCGGCTGCTGTGATTCGAACCGCAAACTTCTGCAAGAAGTGGTGAACGCGCCAATGCTAGGCCACGTCATGGCGCTATGACATGGGCAGGTCAAATGTCGACTTCTCCACGAAGTGGTACCTAATTTTATCGACTCCAGAGTGATGATGGGCTTAGTCAATCTCCAACATTGATTTGAACTCGCAATCTTATGCTTGCAAGTCGCGCGCTCTACTGCCGAGCCACCTGGGCTGGTGATATCAAGTCAGTGGTGCCGTGTTGGTGAGATGTTAACTACCTCGTCTGGTATACAGGAGGTCGTTGGTTCATTCTCAACCCTGATGCCTGTATATTTGGAGTTTGCATACGCTCCCCGTAGTCACATGGATTATTCTCCCGGTCCTCTGGTTTTTCCCTCCATATTTAGAAACATCCTTTGAGAGTATTTGGCTGCTATAAATTTCCATGTGCTAAGCCACTTCGTTGAGCTATCATTAGTGGCTAGGTCGCTTCTGAAATAGAACTATATAGCTGAGTGGGCCATTCCTGGTAAAATAAAAAGAGTTTAGTTTTCAGTGCGCACGTTCATTGAGTGATTTAGGTCTATAGTGGTGTAATTACTTCAGCTGGACCAGACTCGTTAATAAAACACGAGCTTAACCGCGCCGATGAGTGACGTGGTTTGGGACGTGACGGTAAAATAGCCGTAACAACGTAACGCAAAACTTGAGTCGAATTCAAGATTGGGAGAAATGTCCGTGACCACAGCTCAAGAGTGGGACGCGCCTGTGAGGTTGCCCACTGTGGAGATGGAGTGATGAGTTCAGCTCATGGGCAGGTGCGAGATGGATCGTCCAGTTATAGGACTTCGGGAAAAAGGTGACGGTTTAATGAATGGATGGTGGTAACAGCCTGGTGGGAAGGCCTTCATCGAGCAGTGGACAGATCGCGGCTGATTACAATGACGTTTACTTTAAAATGATACTACAGGAAAACATGGAAATAAAAGCATTTTTGTATTAATAATATAGTAACGCATTATAATAACATGGGAAAATGTGCCTTATAAAGCCGACTCAGAGTTCAAGGACTGTTTGATAAATGGCCACAATCTAAACTGTGATTTAAATGTTCGCTCATAAAACTAAATACATTAAAGTACATGAAGGTCATCATTATTAATGATATGGTGGTTACAGACTCGCATACTACCCACGTCTTATTTGTATGGCAAACATTAATTTTGATTGCTCTCGTTTATCAGCACATTCCCGTGCAGAGCTGTGAGTGCGTCGGGAGCTCTTTTAAACATTGCCGAGCGCGATAAATCAGACGCTGAAATAACGACGTGAAGGTTCGGTCATTTATATCGACTTGTAAGGTGCCGTGCCAGCGCACAGCATTCGCTCGCTCTGGAACAAGAGCGAAGAACGACTCGAGAGGCGGCAGGAACCACAGGCAAAGTGGGAAGGCACGAGCACTCAAGGGGTGCGAGTCGGGAGGCCAGCCGTGCAGCGAGCCGGCACAAACAATTGCCCAAGCTCTGCAGCCCTCTGTATATTGAAGGCGTTTACATGGAGGAAACCGGACCACCTGGAGAAAGCCCACGCATGCGAGGGGGAAACGCTCTATCCCATACATACGCGACATGGTGAGTCCACATCGGAGCGGCACTGCCTCCTGAAAAGTCAGGGTATGGCACCTCGATGCCCGTGTAACGCTCAGCATGGCTAATGGGGAGTAACAGGTGAAGTTACGGGCTATGTTGAACATGGAACGTAAACTAGCAGCTGACTCAAGATAGCACGTTACCGTATTTGTATTGGCAGGGGTAGGTGGAGGAGATGGATGCCGAGAGAAATAACGGCAAGCAAGAAAAGACTTAGCAGTCAGAAACCTGGGGGGTCAGGATAGAAAATAATGGCAGGAAAACATAAGCGGATTGAATCAGGTAGCGGAGGTTTCGGTGGGTGCAACATGTTTAGGATGGAGGAGGGCAGGTTGTGTGGCATTAACCCCGGTGAACCGAGTTCGATTCCTGCTCACGACCAATAACAGTGGTGAATACCTGATCATGTCCGAGACCTTGATTAGGTCGACTTAGCATAAATTGGGTACTCGGTGTGGTGTGTCAGTATCGGGGAGACAAAGGCGGCCCACCCCAGCCGTGCGCCGTGCCGGCCTTCCTAAGTGCTGGCTAACAGCACTTGCCCCAACAGTCCATTAAAGGCTATAAGGGGGATCTTTGTCTTTGGAAGGCGGATTACTTGGGGCTTGTAGTGGCACCCAGAGGTCAGTGACTCATAAAAATGCTGTTGCCTGATGATGCTCGTTGTAATTACTGCCAAAACGTCCTACTAGAATAGTAAAAGTTGTGGATTTACTCTCCAACACGCCGGTGTGCTGTACTAGTAACGAATTGGCATGTGTTGTTTACGTGACAAACCTTACTAATTGGTTGTGTCGGGTGAGCGCGGGTTTAACGACCCATTTACATTTACGTGATCTAACCCAAAAACCTATTTTAAGGAATGCCTAAATCCGTGTTTTTTGTGACAGCGGAATAATTCACATTGTTGGTTCAATTCCTGCAGAGCATCACAGAGAGAATATGGTGATGGTGAGGTGCTGCGGTATTGGTGACATCGATAACCATTTGACTTGATCATCGTGAAAACAAAACATTGCTTTCTCCTACCAAATTTGTACTTCAATGACCACCCACGTACTGAAAATGTGCCCAGAAATTGTGGGTGACCCTCCTATTTTTTATAATCGGTTCTCAATCTAAAATCAAACCCACGTTCCACCACCAAAGAGAGATGCGATGGGATGAATTTCACGGACACGACTTACGTTTAACCTGGGCAACAACGTGCTCTGATCGTCAATGATCGTTGCCAAAGTCACCCCCTGTACAAAAGCAAAAGCTCGCAAAATCCTCAATTCTTACGGGGACATGTTCATTCATACCCTCATCTAGTACTGGCCACGTAGCGCACACACACTCACTCACACGTGTGACCTTTTCGCATTATGTTATTAACCCGGTGTCCTCCGTCACAGCTAGGAACAAGCCATCGGGATGAAGGTTCCCGTCAGCCTGGGGGGGCATAGATACCCCAATCTGCCAACTACGCATCAGCTGCGCGAGTAATAATTCGTGATCAACGCGGCACGGAGCGAAGATGATTTCAATCGCGGGACCCCCAATTCCCCCCAATCGTACGCAGAGAAGTTTCAATTGCAAGTGTGAGTTTTAGTTTAACAAGGTAAACACTGTAAACAATACATGTGCTTAGTCTCATCTGCTCCAGTGATCTGCATAATTAGATCGCATTTTTATGCGTGGCTATTTGGATGTCACGGTAGCTATGCACTTTTAAATCTGGATTGGAAACGCACTCGATTTTTATAATGCTGAAGTTGTGTGGAAAACTAGTTACAATTGGTGAAGACTAATTAGAGGATCTATTGAAATTTAGAGAAAAATAATAATTGTAATCGTTCCTATAGCCACAGGTATAGTTGTACTTGGAATCGTATTGTGATAATTATCAAGTAATTCGCTGTTTAACTGCATCCCTATACAGGTCACCATACGTCGATGGTGATTAGTTGTGAGCGGCCATTAACAGGGATGTTTGTACCCACAAACGGAGGAACGTACATACATAATATGTATGCACGCGTGATCAACATACATTATGTATGTTGAGTAAACTCTGAATAACCCAATCAATAACACTGGTCAACACACTTTTTCTGGCATAAGGTATTTCAAAGGTTTTAAGGTAATTTTGGGGTGCTGATTCCAAATCTGGCATCAGTTGTTGTCTATCACATCAGGTTTTTGAGATATCAAATATTGCATTTTCAATAAAAACTGCAGAAGAAAAATATTAAATAAATGTGGATATCTACATAAAATGATATTATAAACACACTATCCTAAAAATACAGCACCATATTTTAACACTAAAGCAGTCACTGACTCGCTACAACTTGCAATCATAAGTGACAGAGTTAATTTCGGGTAAAATCAATGAAAATGGGGTATGCCGATAGCATAAAATGAGATGTGATAGAGCAAATCTGAGATCAGATTTGGAATCAGCACCCTGAAATTAGTCTAAAACAGCTGCAAAAATCCAGGCCAGAATTTTTTTTTGTTGACCAGTGTAATAGATAACCATTGTAATTTACATGAATACATTAACCCCCCACCCCGCCTTCGCATCTGATTGGCTCACAAGTGACGACATCACATCTATCCCTCTATTGAGGCCGAAACAAGAAGGTTTCTCTCTCCACAAATGTCGTCTGATGAAGCTAGTTGGAATTATATTACCGGCGAAACGTCGTACTCGAATTGTAAATGTTGTCTTGAACTAGTAATGAATTGGCATGTTTTGTTTACGTGAGAAACCTTACTAATTGGCCGTGTCGGGTGGTGGCGGGTTTAACGACACATTTATATATTTTCGCGATCTAAACCAAAAAACCTCTATTATGTGTTTTGTACGTTGAACTTCTTTTGCACCGTACGTAACCAACCGCGCTAATCGGAGGTGCGGAGAATAACAACAAAGGAAACACCAAGTTCTAAAGAAAAGAGTTTTCAATCTAGACGATTTAAAAGTGCATCGCTCCAATGGCATCCGAATATCGGAAGGAAGAGCATTCCAGACGGCCGCAGAAGTGCATCTGAAAGTGCACGATGCAAGTGGCTGTCTTTGTGCGATGGCCGGCCAAACGCCGTGGCAAGGATGACCAGGGTTGGCGTGATGGTGTATACTCCTTGACGAGATCAGTAAGGCGAGGAGTGATCCCGCAACAGGCGTGACATGGATTTTTTTTAAAGGATGTTTATTTTCTCTGGGCGTCTATCAACTTTTGGAGTGCCGCTCCGTGTTGGGTTGTTTCACAAATTGCATTGCACGATACAACTCCCCCTTGTACCGTATGTCATGCGGTGCGATGTCAGACGTTTCGCTCCACGTTCTAGAGAACAACTCCCAAAACCAGCCAGATTGCTCAGCAGTAGAACAAGCGACTGGCGAATCGGTAAGTTTCGAGTTCAATTCCTGGCTGTGGGTCACTCATCCCATAATCCCTCCGGGGTTGATTATGGAAAACGTCACGAGGATTGGAGTGTAGTGATACAATTGGCAATGTTGAATTTATGTCTCTGGCTGTACTAAATGTTATATTTTATTTTTCAGGTAAAGCCCACTGAGCTCTCTTCCAGAGGCGACTTGGCCACACGTGATAGCTTATCAAAGTGGCTTATATCATACGTGGGAAGTTACAGAAACCAAATAATATAAAAGCACCTTTCGAAATGTCGAGGGTAAACCCGGAGGGTCCGGAGAAAAATCCATGTAACCACGGGGAGAGAGAGAAAACGTGCAAACTCCAAAAATACAGCAGGTGTCAAGGTCGGGGATCGAACCCACGACCTCCTCCTACCAGGTGAGTGATGCAACATTTCGCCACCTCGGAACCCCTTTGTTTCTAAAATAAAATATCATCAATAAATAGATTTTGAGTGTATTATTGTCGCGTGTGTTATAGGGTACTCTTTGCTTCTTTCGATAAAGTCACGTAGGTACAAAATAAAATGAATCACGACGTTTCGGGCGCAACACAAGCGTCCGTCATCAGGTACATTTTGTGTTGCGCCCGAAACGTGATTTATTTCATTTTATACCTACGTGACTTTACCGAAATAACCAAAGAGTATGGATTCCTGCAGTCACGAAAGCTTCAAATCAAGATTGTTATAGGGTAGCAAAGCCAAGCAAAAGTGTGCAGTGGCATTTGTGTGTGTGAGCGTAACACTGCTTGGGAGCAATTAGCTCCCCACACGATGTTTTCTTGTGCGTGTGGCTTTTATATTCTCAGCCCGGTCACTGATGACTGGACACAATGTAGCTGCCTGTGACTAATAGGTCACAACCGGCCTCTTCTCTGTGCTTGCAGACAAGTCTGTTGGGTGGAAAGTTCCCACATAGAAACAAACGTTTGCATAGCTGACATTCACCCTACTCAAAGGGCCAATTAGTGCATTAATTTGGGAAAATGGACAGGGTTGGCATTCCCGCCACAAACTGCTGAGAAAGTTTAACAAATCTTAAAAAATATACTTTTGACATGTTTAAATTGGACTGGAATGGGACAGTATTTTTTTTTCTTCTTCTTATGAAGTTGCTATTAAAATGAACGGGAAGGGAACCTACTTAAGTAAGATTCTCAAAAGAAAGCGTTTGCTATATACTCGTAGTTTTTTCGGTAA